GGGTCTTCTTTCACACGTTCAGGTGTCTGCACATTCTCATCAGGACCTTGACAAAATTTTTCATGCCACGTGGTCCAAACAATTGAACTCCGTCAAACAAAAATAATGGACAGGTAAAGAAATCAATGATTTTAAACTTTTGTCGTCAATAATATCAAAATATCCGTTAAGTCAGAATCAAATTATTACAGAAAATAGCTTTGAAATTGTACGTGTATAAATAATATAAATACTTTTATATTATTTTCTACCACTATAATTTAATTCTTAAATTATGAACTTCAATTTTAGTAATCGTAGTAAAAGAAATAAGAGTTNAACTCCCGTGTTATACGGGGGTTACTTTGTACATTAAATTTAGGAATCAGTTACCAATTTTAGGAGATCAATTTCTCCGCCTCCAATCGCCAAAAAAGTTGTGTTTGATTACTCTCCCAGAGAAAAAGTAATGGATCTAGAAATCTCAAATTTAAATTTAAGCCTTTCTTGTTATCAGATATGTGATCGTGAATATTTTTGGTTTATAGGTCAAAGGTAACGGATGTTCCCCTTAGAGATATTTTATTTTTATGGCTTAATTTTACGGTTTTAAGGATCAAATTGCATTAAAACAAATGATTTGACAATGTTATCTAGTATAAGAAAGCTCAAAAATATGAAAATTAAAAGTTTTATAACGATTTTACTTACAGCGTATTGAAAGCATTTGGTCGGTGGCTGTCATGTTGCTTAGTGCTAACGGAACCGTACGCTACGTCGTCATCTTGGCTCTTAATAACACAATCATTAATGAAAAAAGAAGTGATATGTAAACAAAAACATCTCAGATGTTTTTGTTTACATATCACTTCTTTTTTCATTATATATGGTTTGGATATATATTACCTACCTGGATATATATATTTTGATTAAGTCATGATTTTCAAGAAGAAATGTTTACAAAATTTATAATGCAACCTCCCGTGCATCATTGGTTTACGCGGGAAAAATAAAGGTCCAATACTTTTTGAACACCCCTCGTATATCATACTTTTCCTTTAACGATAAAGTCATGCCGGTCATCTATCTAAAACCTTTCAGGAGAACGTTTTTGAATTGAAATAACTTTCGGTACGCATTGAAAGTTCGTATATTAGGGCTTCTTACCTCTAAACATTCCATTTGTGGTCTCGGATTTCATTAATGAGACTCCATTCTCGAGATGAAAAGGACAGATGGACGACAGTGGGAATGTATAGGTTTACAATTATTTCAAATTGCACATCAATTACAATGTTTACCTTACTTATAACATTCATTTATTATTAAAGCTTGTTTTTAATAACTGTGTTCAATGTTTTTTATTTAGAAGATATTCAAGTAAATGTTATTTATGCGTTTAATTTATGATAGTGTTTATATTTTAGATATTACATTGTAATTTTGCTGGATATTATAACTATTACTAGAAGTCAGAATTTCGTTTTTTGTTATTAATGCTGTAAATAATTTTGTTTTGTGGTTTGTGTGGAGTTTGTCTTTGACTCTAAGAAATTAACAAAAATTATTTTAGAGTTTTTACAATCGGTTTGAAAGTAAATTTTATTTTTGAGTTAAAAATTTTCCTCGCAAATTTTTCATTATTAACATTTATATATGTGTTAATAATAAGAATGTCGATTAATCGTTGAGATATCGATTATATATCTAAATATATAAAATTGCCTGTCCTGACTGACTTAATGACTCGTTCATTCACTCACTGATTCATCATTGCCCAGAGCAAACCTAGAGGTGAAATTTGGTAGACAGTTAGGGTACGTCATGGAAACGCACACTAAGAAGGGATTTTTCGAAGTTCCTCCGCGGGGGGTGAGGGAGAGGATTAAGGCTTAACCGGAAGAACGGCTTCTACTATACTATCAATAATTTAGATGCGATTTTTTGTTTTTATCTGCGTTTTGGTAGGGTAAGTCATGGCAACGCACACTAAGAAGGGATTTTTAGAAATTCCCCCGCGGGGGGTGAGGGGTAGCATTAAGGCTTAACCGGAAGAACGGCTTCTACTGTACTATTTTAGATGCGATTTTTTCTTTTCAACTGCATTTAGTCTTCATTGAGTACTTAGGTGTATTAAATTCATAACATTTCAGACATTGTTATAAATATTTTTATCTATTTCAATTTTAAAAATGTTCGAACCGTTTTAAATTCGAATTTGTTATTGCATATTGGTTCGATTATAGAACGATTGTAAATGCTCCAGAAAATTGATCAAATTGAAAATAGTTCATTTGATTCTCGGCAATTCTCTTCAACGGTAGGTGTTATATAGACCTAACAATTACTATGGTTATTGAAATATTGAATGTAAATGGGGTTTGCTTGCTAAACCTCTGCGGACGAAGTCGCGGGTAACAGCTAGTTTTGAATAAATTAATATACGTTGGAATACAGTTATTGCATTATGTTATATATTGTTTACGGAACTTTAAATGCACAATAATGTACCAAAACACGAAAACAAACCAGTTTCTGGATTATCCGAATCATTGATTGTCCGAAAAATCCTTGATACTATCAAGTTCTCATAACAAGTTGTCATAACGAGTGCCACTGTAATTGAGGCATCATGAAGCAAACACACCTTGCCTTGGGTTACACACCCGGTGCCTTGGATTGGCCACGTACTTCCGGCACTCCAATATGTCTCGTGTAAGCTGTCTAGTATGCTTGCTATTGGTTTTGTGAGTAATGATATATATTCTTGTTATGACGAAGATTAGACGAGAAAATAAACATAATTAAAGGAAAAATGGAACAACTGATTATATTATGCATAAAATGCGAGTCATCCTTTCCACCGTTTCTATTTATGCAGTAAGTAAATCTATGTATATAATAGCACTTCTTCTGCATAAACAACTAATCATTATACAGTATGTAATATGATACTATTAGTTACTTATAGCAGCTCTTAAAATTCTTATCCGATAAAATTTAAAGTAGATTTGTTACTATAGTATTTTATCAATTTATTAATTACACAAAACTAGTTACTGTATTTTTTGTTTACAGAAAACCTTTTTATGAGGGCATCGATGAAGCCTGGCTTCCATTTGATCCTATTTTTCGAAGGACAATGAATCTAGCACCCGGGAATAACCATCTTTACAGAGAGAGAGCAAAAGATGAATGTCGACTTTTGTGAGGACCCGAACAGGGGTCGATTGAAAGGTCCGAATGAGGGGTGTCGATCGAAAATAAAGAGCTCCTTTTCAGACGCTAAGGAAACGGATTTGTGGTCGCGATTGAACAATGCGATTGTTTTTTTTTTTTTTTTTTGGTAAATTAGTTAAACAATGGAAACGGATAAATTCGAGAAAAACGCGACGAGAGAGAGGAATGATATTCAGTCGCAAAGTTGACCTCTCCCGCTCCCTTCATTAGGTTTCGAATTGTCACCAGGTAACAATGAAAGATCAATGGAGTGGCGACTACGGTTAAGAAATCTATAAAACCGTGCGACTCCAGGGATAAAGGTTCTGGGTGTTTGGATGCGTAGTGATTCTTCTCCTGGACGTGCGTGCTCCACATCTTTGAAAAATAAAAGAACATTTTGGAACATCGTGGAAGCATCGTTTTCTGGGTGCCTCCTAGCGATCTACAGATTCGTCAGTTCGTCCAACGAGAAGTCACCAAAAGCCGTAATCAATGCACCGGGGCCTACGGAGTATTTCACCGGCAGCATCCATCCACAAGTAACGAAAACCGAATTTTTCGAACTTTATTTCGGACTTTATCCGCGCGCTTTGTGGTGCTACTTCGTCCATCAAGGAATTTGTAAGGAAAACTTCTATGTTTAATAAACGGTTTTATATGGTAAACCTGTCGAAGAAAGTCATTCTGCGCCCACAGGACAGAATGGAGCGCTGTCAAAAAACCTCACCCTAATCGGCTGACCTCACACTTTGGCGATACATCTATCGTATCCGTGATCTTTTTAAAGAACATGTAACTGCGTAAAAGTACTTGTTTTCTTTTTTTTTAAATAATAACACATTTAGCATCTTATTAACTATCTATCAAATGTTACGTTCGAGACTATTTTTAAAATGTAAAAATTTCGTAATTTGTTGTAACTAATAAATTAATATTTACTTCAATCAAAACTAAAAACATTATTTGCATAGTAAATAACATACCTCCAAATATCACTAACAGAAATGGATTGCAGAGTAATTAAAAATTGATACTAGAGAGTTCGAATTAGAACGTGCAAACTTACATTCTCTTTTGTACAAACGTAAATATAGCCACTAAGAATGATTTTTCTTTTTTATATACTTAGAAATGTGAAAGGTTATGGACCCTAAACACTACCCCGATTGCGTATTATTACTCTAAAATTAATACAAAGAATAAATTTCGTAAAATTATATTTTGTGTTTTCTAATATAGTTAGAAATCGTTATCTTTTTTCATTCGAAATATTATTAATTCAATGTTTCAGCTAGTATAAAGAAATGTTCATCATTTCTCTGTACTTTCTCTTCGATAGATATCTCGTTAGTGTATTTGATACTTTATTAAATTTTATGAGAAATTCAAAAATGAAATTGGGAGTAAAATTATTCCAAACAAAAATAACGATGTTTATCAAATAAATACTGCTTATAAATTACTAATAATATTATAGTTCATACTGACATGAACATCTAAACATATTTTTAAGTAAGTGTTATTTTTATAAGTTTGTAAAATATCTATTGTATTGTTTTTGTCACGTCGAAAATCAAGGTTCAGTAATACTGATCGGCATCAAGACAAAAAATAGTGTATCTTTTTAAATATGTATAAAATGAATTAGTCCGTCTCTTAAAAATTTTTTAAAATTACCATATTCTTTTTTGTTTAAAACAACATTTTTTTAATCAAAGTTAGATAAATCCGGTGCTTATTTTAATTTTAAAAGATAACTTTACTATTGAGAAACTATTAATACAATAATAAATTACAAATATGCTTCGAATAACATTATTTTTTATTTTTTAGCAGTAAGGATTGTTTACATTGTTTTACATCGGCGACTTGGAAGAACAGTTACATTATTTTCCACCACATATATTTGTGGCACTATCCGAAACCTTGGCATTTTCCGGAAGTCCCTCGCAATAACACGACATTGCGTAGCAATGTCCACCCGATGCTTTCTTCATTTTGCATTGGTTGTCGCAATAATTATTTGCTACGCATGAGAGTTTGCAACCTTTACTGTCCACAGGATATCCATCTTTGCATTCCACACCTGTATTTAGAAAATTACTTTACTAACAACTTCGTACATTGTTATATACAACAGTAGATAGAAGAATGTTTACAACTATAAATACTTTATTGTTTTACAAGTAATTGTCAACATAAAATAGTGCAGCTGAATTGAATGAGGAAAGGTATCGGAAAACAATAGCACTGTGATTTTAATACAAATAAAAGTTGCTAAACTTTAAAACAGTGAGAAACCTGTTCATGATACTACAATATGGGTATTTTATACAAGTAAAAATAGTAGAATATTTCTTACCAATCAGCAATACAGAACCGATGATCAGTATCAAAACCTTCATTTCTTTCGTCAATTCTTTTTGTCAGCAGTAGATTTATTGTAAACTCTTGATTTTCCAACTATTTATAGAGAGATTCGACACAAAATTCTCTATTTTGATTGGCTTAAATTCCGCAAGTGTTTAGTTATTTACGAGAAAAGTTTGTGTAATAATTTTTAATCGCATTAATAAAATTTATGTATTTTTACATTTGGCCAAAGCAATAAAGTAGTTTTTAAAGTTTCTACGTTTATTATTGTGGAGATTTCGTTGTTTGGTGTCCGAATCTCAACATATTTTGACCCGTAAAAATTAATGTTGTGTTCTTGATCGAAAGTGGTCATGCACACTAATATGGCAAAATATATTTATTTATACATGGTACGAAAACTAGAATAAATTATCGATCACAAAGAGACAATTTACATAATACTTAATTAAAACAAAATGCAAGACAATTAGGAGGTCTTCTTAGTCACTTCTTTCATTTTATGTTCGTACATGTCAAGCTTGTTTCCGTTTTTTAGTGGAATTTATTTTCTATCGGTCATTTGAAAAATTTTTGATCTATAAATTTCCACAGTCGTCTCTCTGTACATTTGTTTGGTTGTCTGTCTTCCTCTCGTACCTTAATCTCGGGAATGGAGTTAGATAAATGAAATTCGGGACCAGATGTGGAAAGCGTAAGGACCTCTGTGCTCGATGAACTATATATGAACTTTTGGTGCAAACCGCGAGTCATATTAATTCAATACAAATATTTTTCTTTTCAGAGGGTCAGACAGATCACCGGCACGACTCTTGTTATAGGAAAAGTATGGTGTACGGTACAGGGGCATGCCACTACTAATTTGAGTATATCATATATTTTAAAGTAAATTAATTAAAATTACGATTAATAATTTCGGCCCGGCATTGTGTTGATGCCAATAAATGATTGCCCGTTTTAAATTCGTTTTAGTTTTTAGTATACTTAATGCGACATATGTCTTTGAATAGAATTTAATAAACCAAATTTTTATTTTTGAAGTATTGTCCTCTATTTTTTTAAAAACCCTTCAACCTTAACTGAAATTCTTTCGTCGAGTAGCACGTTATGGATTCCATATTTCAAGTAAACCAGTGTAAGCACAAAGATCTGAGCAAAGTGCAGACCTGTCGATAAAGGGCATTCCCCGTTGAAGATAACATTATATTCTATTTAGAGAGTTTATTTGCGATTCACATTAATGAATTTGAAATCTTTCCTAAACGTATTTTGGGAGATCGAACGATTTCCAAGTTTAATAAGCCGTATAATATTTAAAATCTTACTGTAAATAAAAAGTAGACGTTCTTGTAATGCAAGGAACATAAAGCACACATTCGTATCTAAAAATCTAGACAGATCAGTTACATTTGTACGATTTTGTATTGCTGTCACGTTGCATGAGGAGCTACAAAAGTTCATTGCGACTTGTTTCTCCTACATTGCGCAAATTTATCATTTGTGATTCGAGAATTAGACAGTTTATGTTAAAGAATTTTATACATTCCCTGACACTTACGGTGATTTCTGATTAGAGACACAACTGTTTCCATGCAAACTAAGAAGCCTAGTAAATACTTAATGAATATGGTATTATAAAATTAAATTACCCTGTTGACGTGTTTTTCTGTATTGTTAAGGTATACAGATGAAGCAATACCGATAGGTACAATTCAGCTGCAAGTTGAATATACTGTAGACATAAATTTCTACTGTCGTCCGTCCGGCTGACTGGCTGTCTTTAATGTTGAGAACGGTGTTAGAAAATTAAAAGGTTAGACGGTATTTGGAAAGAAGAGAAGTTGTAGGTCTGATTAACTTTACACAAGCGTCTGTTTTAGATCGATAGTAACGTGATTTTAATTCAAATTTACTTCCCTGAATGATGTTATGTAGATGATCAGTATGACTTTGTTATTATCAGGAAATGTATGATGTAGAGGGGAGAACCGCTACAATTTGAGATGGAGACCATATATTTTAAATTAAATAAAAATTTAAGAATATGATTAAGAATTGCAGCCCGGAATTGCGACGATGTCATCATAAATACTGTAATTGTTCGTTTTTAATAAACATTTAAAACTATTCTTATATGAAATTGAAAGTAAATAGTGATTTGCATTGTGTTCATTAGGTTATGTTTTGCATGAAGTGACAAACATTTAGAAATGATTACAGATCAATAAACGTAGAAACATTTGAATGTTTCTTTTCTATTTTTAACAATAACGTGTTTTAAAACAAAAGATATAGAAAAATCATATAACATAACATTAAATATTAAATTTATGTACAATACCAAATAGTATTATTTCTTTACGTTATATAATAGTTTAAAAAAATGATTTTTCTAGTTTGAAAACGAAGTCAGAAATACAGCAATATTCCCTTAACAATAAGTAATTTTAAATAACACTTAAAAGTGATAAGTCATCTTTCTGCTTTAAAGATTGCTGTCGTTAAGCCAAAAATTTGGTTTAAATTATTTATAAATAATATTTCTTTAATTTTAAAATTACTTTTCATATTTCGAAAATATTTTTATTAGAAAATTTTTTATGGTTTTATCAGTTTACAAAGGTGAATTGTAGATATTTGGATTCATGTCTAATCAAACAAGAAAAAATATTCTATAACGTTGTTGAGAATATTTGGAACGTAACGTATCGTACGATTTTGGTTTATTACTAGACTTTTACAATAATTTTTTATGGTTTATTACTTGATTATCCATTTTCAATCAGTTTTATTTATTTTAATTAAAGCATAATCATTCTATTTCTTTAAATGTCATTATTTGAGGACGAAAAGTTGGTGATGCATAAAGATTTTTAATGATAACATGCTTAATATGTGCCACGCGGACTCAAAAATAGTCGTATTATCTGACAGAAAGAAAAGATGATTTTCAAGAATTCGATGTTTGATTATTCGCTTATACAATTGATTGAAAAATGTCTTACGTCGATTTATTTTATGTTGAGGGTAAGTTTTTTTAGATTGGTGTATGGGATAGCGTTGAGCACAATTATAAGCAGTAAACTAGCAAAGTTATTCATATCGATATTCTTAAGAGATCGGCACATACCTATAAAGTAATTTTTCAGCTAAGAAACGTTGACGATATTTTACTAACATTTGATACTAAAAAAATAAATGTTTTTAGAGAAATTGTCCAGTCTAATCTAGGAGCCTCATCTATTTCGCGCCCTGCAAAACCATATTGCTGATATACAGTTCAATTTCAATGACGAAAGCCATGTAAGAACGGCTCTCGAGACTTTCTTCAAAAGAATATTCGTTATGCTAAAGATTCTAAGCTGCCTTCCTCACGTTGATCGACCGAGACATGCTATTGAACTGTGAAACTATTGTTGATTATTATTACATTTGTTGAAGTTGGTGAACTTGTCAGCGTTTTTTATTTACGCTGATCTATGCATAAAATTTTTATTCGTAAGCATTTTCCGGTTATTTGGAAATGAGTGATACTCGTTTTAGAGACTTAGTAATCAGTGGGCTAATTCGTGATGCTCAATCAATTCTTAAAATTATTTATAGACAAAGGATTATTTACTAATTAAATAACTTTTCAATACCCATCGTATCTCTACCATGTATTAGATTAATTTTAAACATCTGCGCTTAAATTAATAAAGAAAGGAATTTGCGATATTCTGAATAAACACTAATAAATTTTGTTATTACAATCGGAAGAGAACATTTTATTGATCATTATTTCTGCCGATAACAAAAGAATATGATATTGGACCATATGTTTAGATTTAATTCAACCTGCAAACATTTTATTGTCAGGCACTCAGTTATTAAAAGTATGTTATTGCTGTAAAGCACTGGCATATCTATATACTGTAAAATACATTTGTAAAATTATAATTCATTTGTTTAATACTTAATTCAAATCTACGATTATTTATTAAGTAGTCGTCCGTAGAAATAGCTAAAGTATCAGGTTATAAATGAAGGATTTAAAAACTTGAAAAAAAAAATTACTGACAAATCGACAACGATTACAGTTCACTTTTGCAGGTAATCACCATCAACATTAATCATATCGAGCCATTTTTGCTGCAAACTTTCAAACCCAGACGCAGTCCATACACATCATAACCATGCCAAAAAGTGCTCAGACTTGAATGTTATAACTTGTTTTGCTATTTGGGTACAAGATGAAACGAATAGAAGTACTGTACAGTGGTACCTTGGTTTACGTCTGCTTTAGAATACGTCCAATTCGAAATACGTCCTGTTTGGACGAAACAAATTTTGCTCGGTATATGACTTTCGTTCGGTATACGACTTAATTCAATTATACGCGCCATCTATTAACAAGTAGCACTATCGGGGCATTAGACCAGACTAGACGTTCGCTGGTGCCACAGTTTATAACTTTGTTAAATTTCTATTTTAATTTGTAAGTAAAATGTTATTACAGTGTTTTTATTAATCATGAATTGCAAAAAGGCAACAGAAAAACACAAAAATGACTAAGATCACAATGGAACCGAAAAAAGAAATTGTTGAAAAATATGAAGGTGGCATGTGTGTTCGAGATTTAACTGTTGCATACCGTATTTCGAGAACGACCATGTCATGAAAAATAAAGACATTATTAAATTTGCTAACGTTGCGAAGGGGTTTAAATCAATTTCTAAACTGAGATCGAAGACATTAGATCATGTTGAGAAATTGCTGTTGCTTTGGATAACTGAAAAACAGTGTGATGGCGACAGCGTATCAGAAGCGATTATTTGCGAGAAAGCTAAAAACATACATGCTGATCTCATGAAAAAACAAGCAGAAACTAGCCAGGAAACCGAGGTGCTTAAAACCAGCCATTTTTTTACATGAGAACGGATTAATCATTTTTACATTACTTCTTATGGGAAAAATTGGTTTGGTATACGTCCTATTCGGTATAAGTCCAAACACCAGGAACGGATTAAGGTCCTATACCGAGGTTCCACTGTAATTAAATACAAGTAATGAAAATTAATTATTA